TGACAAAATTGTGTCCCCATAAGTACCCTAAGCCTTGCCTAGGCACCCCTGAAATCTACCACTGCATTTCCTCTCTGAGTACCTGCCTTGTTGTTTCTCTATTTCACCTCCTTTGGTGGATCTGGCAACACTTTAAATGCACTCACGAAATAATCCCAGGCTCAGGATGCATTCTTATACATAAAAATGACAGCACAGACTCTCAGTCTCCTTCTTTGTCATCCCAGGGCCTGGACCTGTGGTCCTCTCTTTCTTTGTCTCCTGAACCCTCTCCTGTGTCACCTATCCTTGAGCAAAGAAAACCACAGTTTTCTAAAAAGCAGACTTCTTGATATTCCTAGGAAATGCAGGCTTCAAATTCCAGATAATTTTAAAAAGAAACCACTGAAATAATTCCTTCAGGTCAACTTCAACCCATTACTCAGGAGTAAGAATTAAAACAGCTGGTATTGCTGAGGGCTTCTTCCAAGCGTGTAGTTTCTCTCTGGGAGATACACTTTTAAGTTCAAGCAAATGGCATGAGCAGTGTTATCACCTCCATTTACTGACAAGGGAAAGGAGCCAGAGAGGCTAGGTAACTCCACTTGTGTTCTTTTTACATAGTTATGATTGCTCAAGCAGCAGACGTGTCCTCAGAATCAACAAAAGTCTACAAAGAAAGGGCATCTTTAAAGAGGCTCACCAGGCTCCCGGTGCCTTGGAAAACCTGATCCGTAGGAGGATTTCTAGGCGGGGGGTGGGGATTTGTTCCAAGATCTGGAGGCAGAAGAGAGAATGGTGGTCAATGAACTGAAAAGAGCCTGCTTTGGCTGGATTGAAGAGCAGGTAGAGAGATGGAAGGGAGAGAGAAAGCTGGAGAAATGGGCAGAGCTGGACCAAGTAGGGTCCTTATGGCACTTTCAATGATTTTGAACTTTATCTTGAGGGTATTGTCTCATAAGAGGGTGTTAAACAGAGGAAGGAGAAGTTGTGAAACTGATGTAGCCCAGCCTGCAGAAATACAAATTTCCTCTCCATATTATATTAACCCAGCAATGTTTCCTATGACATTTTCATCCATGAGGTTCAAAGCATTTAGTGATTAGTGCTTTAGTGCCCATTGGCACACAGTTCCCAGTTCCAAAGGGTGGATTTCCAGCAACTTCCACTGATGCTACACCTCAGTGACTTCTCTACTAATCAGTGGGTCATGGCTGTGCCCTTTCCAATAAGGCTTGAGAGGATCTTCCTTGAGCACTCTAGCTCAGCTCTAGAGGTAGTGGCTGCTCAGTCTCATCTAGTTCTATGTTCTTTAGGGTCCCTTTGCTTCTTATTAGCCAATTCCTCATTGCTCCAATACCTCTTATGGGTAATAGTTCTTTATATTAAATACTCCATGTTCAGATTATTCACAACCATTAGAAATTCCTCTCCTTTCCCCAGTGTAGAAAAGATTGTGGCCCTACTAAGAGCTACATGCTAGCTGCTTGTTCTATCTAAAGAGTCCATTTCCTTGTAGATTAACCAGGAGTTCACAAAGGTACATAGAGAATGGGCATGGATCCTAGGATTTCCCTGAGCTGCACAATTAGGAGGGCAGGAAGACAGATCACATCCATGTAATACGGTAGGTGGTGGTGGGCACCACAGGCTTGAATCTACTGCTCACAGATGTGTCCCAGCAGACTGATTAGCTCTACTTGGGAGAAGAAGGCCCATGACGGTATAGTGGGAAGAGACTCTTGAGTCTTGAAGGTTGACCAAAGGTTTGCAGGCAGGTGGTTGGGAAAGAATATGCCAAACAGAGGCCACAGGATAGATGGAGTCTGCTGACATGACAAGGCACAACCATGCTCTGGGAGTTCTCAGTCACATGGAATGGCTGGACATAGGTGGTAGCCCTTGTGAAGGGATTTGGCTTTATCCTGTAGGGTTTTAACTGGAGTATGGAGTAAAGTTAAGAAATGATTGTCTCTAGGCCCCTCGGCCTGGAGGGGATGAATTCCTGACCTAGGACAATATCAATGGGAATAGAAAAATCAAATTTAAGCAAGAGTAGATAATCAGGTGGACTGCAGGATTTTGGGCCCTTGAGAGCTAGTTATGAGAAACAAATGAAATAATAAATGTGAAAGTACACTTTTTGAATGCTGATATACTATAGTAAGATATCTTTTCCACAATATGACTCAGAACATGAATAATGAGCCTCAATGTTCCTATAGAGCAGGATTGCCCCAATTGTTGGGCCAAATGACAATACGGGGGTAGCATTTATACCACAGTTTATATTTCTTCTCCTTTTCTCCCATCTCCTCACTTAACAATCAGTACCTGACAGCTGGTGCCTTTTGTTTTAAAGTAAACAATGGATGTTTACATGCGTTAACTTTTACAACCAGTTGCTCAAAATAGCAGAGTACTAAAAGAGAGTTTTAAAGCTGGAATATAAACTCTATTCCCTCATTTTGCAGGAGAGTACACTGACAGGCAAATCATCTAAGACTTATGCAAAGCAAGTCAGAGAGAGGACTGTCATCAGGTGTCTTGGAAAACAGCAGGAGCTTTCTGCTGCCATCCTTGTAGGGTATGAATCAATGGTTATGCTTATTGATTGGAAAGAAATTTATAATCCAGTATACTTGTAACTCAAGGAAAATCCCTTCAAAAAAGGGATGGGGAGGTCCCATATTCCCTACTCAACCAGCAAGTCAGTGTCTCTGCTCAGGTACAGGGATCTTCAGCTTCTCTCACCTGAACCTTTCTAGCTTTAGGGCCAGAAATGTTCAACTCCTGGGTAAACAGTCTTGTTCCACACTTCATGAATTAAGCATTCCATTCATGGATCTCACTATTGCGAGAGGTTATGACAACAACTTTGATATGGTCATTTTGAGTCCATCATTGCATCTGCACACAATTTGGTTTGGAAGAATGGTTGAATTCCTTGCTTTGAATACCCAGAAGGTTGGCTTATATTCTGCTGTGAGTCTTGTTTATCATGGTCTATAGCTATCACCATTTCTATACAAATGGTCACTGTCCTAAGGCAAGGCCTGTGCACTTAACTTACATTCTATCCCCTTAGTGACAACCTTCGGTCATCACAAACACTATCCATCCCATGTTCCAAATCTGTAGGCCCATTTTCTGATAAAGTGGTTGGCAATATGCTGTGCCTGCAGGAGGCTGGGGATGGCCCACGGGCCTCCTGCACCCTGTCTTCCATGTCCCTGAATCCCCCATCCCTGAGTCCCCTGGGAAAGCATGTGGGATGGCTGGGAGGTAAGGTGAGAATGGGACTGGAGAGAACAGGTGAAAAGACCCATGTTGGAGTGTGACAGCCAGCTTATTAATGACGAAGTTTGCCTTGAGTTCCACGCTGGTTTCCAGTCTTTGGTACTTGTATGTTGGCATGCAAGTGTATAAAATATCTCTGGTCCCACTTTCTAGTTGTCAATGAGATAAACTCAAATTTATTCAAAGAAAGAATCTCCTAAATTTTTGTATAGTTATAAAAAAATACTTCAGGAATAAAATACACATTAAAAAATCAGTTTCCCTTACTATATCTATAAAGTTAGCTCTTTGTGTGCTTGTTTCTAGTCTTTTCAGCTAGGGAAAAATAATATTCTCTCTCTTTTTTCTATAAAAATCCCTTGTGGTCACTGAATATTAGTGTCCATTCACTTCTTCCTTTCTGGTTTACCTTTTATTTGAAATTCTTTCTGCTCATATTTATCATTTATTTATCTCAAGGCACCAATTTTTTCTTTTTTGCACCTCAGGATAAAACCTATTCTTGACAAAGCTTTTGCCAATGCTACTGCTCATTAGGTTTTTTAATTCCCTACTAAGGACTCGGCAAGATCAGAGTTGCTGGGTTCACTTGTTTCAAAGCAGAAAAAATATTTCCAGGTGTTTACTGAAGCAGAATTCTCTAACTGCATATGCAAAATTGAGTTTATGCTCTTGAAATGCAAGCCAGAATGGGATGAACAATAGAAGTACAAACACAAAGGGACATTCAGGTGACCTGTAATATGAGTCACTGCTCAGCCACCGACTTTGCAAGGAGAGTCACTGAGGCAAAAACCACATTGTGTATATAATTACTGTGGTTATGAAAATATTTAGCAAACACACCAGTAGATTTTTGTCCCTTTTTATATCATTTGAAAGCATGGTATTAAAATTTCTTTAATGGTTTCTAAATTTGTAATTGGAATTTCATTTGTAAAGGGGTTTAAAGAAAACAAAAATTTCTAATCTAATTAACTCCAAATTTAATTCAACATCATTTTCCTTTTATTTACTATAAATTATCTTCAGGTTTAAACATTTTTTAAATCTGTATATGTTATGAGAACGTAAAATCTATGTAAAGTAAATACATCCCTTCAAGACACTTCATCAAATTATCTCTTCTTTTTTTTTTTTTTTTGTCTTTTGTCTTTTTCCGTGTCCGGCAACGGATCGCAACCCTCAGTGTTGCCCCCGTACCGGACCGGGGACCGGCAACGGGATTGCAACCCTCGGTGTTGCTCCCGTGCCTAGCTCAGCCAGTGAGCGGGAACCGGTCTGTATGTGGGATCCGAAGCCTTGGGCGGGAGCCCCGCCGCGCTTCCCAAGCAGCGCACTTATCCAGTGCGCCACCGGGCCGGCCCCCAAATTATCTCTTCTTATTCATGATCTTTTTATCCCACCAATTTTGCTTGGTTTCTGATTTCACCGAGTTGGGATTAAATCAGTGTATTCCTCCCTCTGCATAATTTAGAACTGCTTTAAAACGATGTAATTACAAACCTCAATGGCTGATTGTGAATTGCATCTACTGTCATAATTGCCATTACCATGGGTTTTAAATTCTTTCAGAACAGTTGGGTAAAGATGTCATGTTAATACGTTCCACTACTATATGTATGCTATTGATTGTTTGCAGCAATTGTAGACTTGGATGAAATCCAAAACTAGACACAGAACCTGGGAAAATACAAATGTCTTGTAAATTTAAAGGAACGTTTAAGAAAAAAAGTTCTTTAATAAAACTAGATGAAAGAGTTAGTATAAGATTTTAAAATTACACAATTGCAGACAATTTTATAAATGGGTACAGTGCTAGTCTATTCGTCTTCCTGAGTGAGGGAGAGAACAATTTCGATAGTTACCTACTCTAATTTTGATTATCTTATGAAGGGTTTCCAAAGCCTTGTTTGACAATATCTGCTGTATTTACTCCTACTGCTCTGCCAGCCCCAAATCCCCTTTCTTAATATAAACTTCTTGACTCCAAGTTCTCAGCTCCCACTTATTCATTTGAATCTAGAGATGGTAGGCCCATTTAAAATTAATGTAAAGTCTTCCTCATCGAGGAAGCCCACTCTGATGAAACTTTGGTCACATACTTTCCAGTTCTAAATACACAACAACAAAGTCTTAAAAAAACAAAACACCAAAAAACTCTCTCTTTTAATGTAAAGTGTTCATAATCCTCATGTAAACAATTTCCTTTAGAGTGAAGTCTTTGGTATGTGGTTACACGTATCAAATGGTTGGCTCTATCATTTTGCCGGTACCCAAGCTTGATTCACTAATTTAAATTCATTTTAGCCCTCTTCTTCAAATTTCTTTAAACAATTGACATGATTTACTATTTTATAAATTACTAATTCAAAAGAAACAAAAACAGCCTCTAATCAAGTTCTTGCTTGTTGCTATCTAAAAAGGTATACACTTTGATCAACATAATTTCCCTGCTATGCATTTCTGGATGTTTAAAAATGAACTGAATTGTGGTGGGAAAAGATCCCAGTGCCTCTTAATGACTACAATAACTCTCTTGTAATTTGTTGAAAGCAAGTGGTATTCATTTACCCTTTTTCTTGAAGTTCATAATAAAAGCAAACAGGTAGATTTTTGTTAAGAATCTTCAGGTTGGTAGATCTAAAGGCTTTGAAACTAGATAAATGCATACTTCAGACCAAAGAAATAAGCTTTTGAAGTAAATGGGTGGGAGAAAAGCCAGCTTTGCACAAACCAAGAGCTCAGTCCATTTGTTTGAGTATTTTCAGACAATTGTACTCAGTAAGGTTAACAATGATACCGAAAAGGATGTATTACTAGCACTGTGAAAATGCACTGAAGTGAAATAAAAGGAGAGTTTAGGAATAATGAAGTGGTACCTCCTCCTCCCATGAATTTGGTTAGTAAATAGGAATATGTGGCTAACTGGTTCCAGTCCAATTGTTGCTGGTTTCTAGAAATGTCCTCTTCCCTGAAGCTTTCCAACGGTAGCCGTTATGCCGTGTGACAAATGATTAACTCTGTCACCTCGGACTTTGCATGCTCGCTTGTAAGGATGATGGGGTTCAGTCTTGGAACGGAAAAAATACAGAAGTCACCTTAAGTCTTACAGTGCAAGTTTAATCGTCCACACGAAAACAGGCGCCACAGTTCTGTGGTTCCACATCAAAAGCAAAACTGCCTTGCTTTAAAATCCTTTTACTTGAGAAGGCCTCTTCTCTCCCCAGCCCTCACTTAAGGTGTAAGTCTACGGAAGTACCCCTAGACTTCATTTCCCAGGCATTGAAAACAGCACTGGGATTTGCCTCCCTCCTCTGATAGGGCAGAGGAGATCAAGATGAGCTACACCTTTGAGACAAGGGCCCTTTCTCACTCACACAGGTGACATGAGCCAGGGGCGAGGCCCCAGCATAGCTTTTTGAAGAAAATAATTGTGCCAACCTCCTCAGTGGCAGGTATCTTCTCCTACCACAAATAAATATTTAATGCATCCTTGAGTCATGAAATATTGGAAACTCAGTTGAAAAATAAAACCGTGGAGGCACTGTGCGAATACTCCGAACTTGGCGGGATGAGACACCAAGTACACGGGCGGGTCGGAATTCTCGGGTTTGGAACTCGGGGTTGGGGACTGAGGTGGGCAGAGAGACAGTCCTGCGGCGCTCGGGCTACTGCTTGTCCTCGTGGGGGTCCCCAGGGAAGTCCGCCTCCTCCGGAGACCCGACCCCCTCCGGGAGCAGCGTGGCGCGCACTTTCCTCTTCTCCTTAAAGCGGCCTGAGCGTGAGATCTTCAAATTGCGGCGGCTGTTGCCCGACTTCTCCGCGCACGGCTTGTCTGGCTTGTGGGGTTCTGCGGCGTCCCCGAGGAGACTGGGGTGCTGGTTCTCCCGGGAGCTGCCAGGCGGCGCGGGCTCGCCGGGGGCGGGCTGGGCCGGAGGCTGCGCCCCCGCGGTGGCTTCCTTGCTCTTCTTCCTGCTGTGGGTTAGCGACTTCCACCAGGGGCCCGAGCTGCCCGTGCCGCCGCCGTCTGCCATGGCCGGCCGGCCCGGGGGCCCGGGGCGCTCGCGTGGGGAAGAGCCTCGCGGCGGCCGCCCCTGTCCCCGCGGGGTCTCCGGCTGTCACTCCACCCGTCTCCGGCTTCCCTCACCCGGGCTGCGGGAAGAAAGCAAAACTCGGTTACTGGGTTGGTCGAAGTCACGTACCCTCAAAGCCATTCGCCCTGCTCCCGGCCCGGCAGCGGTCGGGCCCGGGTCAGGGAGCCCGGAGCCAGGGGCCGCGCAGCCCCCAGCGGGCCCCACTCTGCCCCCGAGGGTGCCGGCGGACCAGTGGCCTCAGAGGCGCCACCGCCCAATCTCGAGGCGGAGTCTTGAACTCGCTGGCCTCAACCTTTGCCCTGCCTCCAGGGGTATCGCGGTGAACAGCGCGCCAGGGGCACCCCGAGGAGGTTCTCGGCCATGTGCATCAGCCCAGCTCGCGGGGGAAAATGGCCTGGCCTGTCGGCACGGTGACTGTACACGGACGCCCGAGGGTGACCTGCCCAGCCCACAACGGCCTTCCTTGGATGAGCACCTGGGAGGAGGGCGCTCGGAACCAAGTGCGTCCCCACTCTACGTGAGCAACGAGTCACGAAGTGTCCTTCAACGGTGTTCCCCCATAGACTTTCGTGCCAGGACCATACTTCGGAGACTATACCCCAGTAGGACACAGGGACACGCTCATGCTTTTTTTTTTTTTTTTTGCTTCTTTTAAATTCTGCGTTTAACCACTTCTGCCTTGTGACTTTCAGAGCATGTCTAGACTTAACTTCTCTTGAAAGCCGCCCACCTACTCTTCCTTTTATTCCCGAGACCAATCTCGTGTCTTTATGAAGCCACCCCCGGTCGACAGTTGAGATGAGGCTAAGTGGCGAATCCTCTTCCCTTGGTTCTGTATATGTGCTACGCAACATGTCTTGAGATTTTTAGTTACAATTAAAGGCTCCCGTTCTTTTCCTAACGCAATTCCCTGCTCTAAAGGAGAGAGAGCTCCAGCAGGAACTCTGGAACCATTTGCTTCTTCCTCCAGCTTTTAATGCCTCCCCTGCGGGGCGAAAAGGCAGCTCAGCAGCACCGGAGGCTGACACTGGAGGCGAGGCTGCTCGGCCCACTTTCCGTGCCGGGTCTGGGCGGCACTCCCACCCCCAAAGCGCAGGACTGGCTCGCGCCGCGGCTCCTCTCCAGGTTTCCGCTCGGCTCCTTCCCAGCCCACGCGCCCGGCGCTCCTGGGATTCGCGAAGGCGCCTGAGAGGGAAACTTCAGCGGCGTTTGTTGTTGGAGCTTCTCCGCCCGGAACCGCGGCGGAGAGGAAGTCTGAGCGCCTACGGGAGGCGGCGCAGCGGCCTCAGCTGAGCCCCGAAACCGCGGCACCGGCTCCTCCCCAGGACGCCCCGAGGGCACACTCGGGCTGCGACTTGAAAACAATAAACAAAAAATGGCCAAAAGTACTTTCCGTACAAAAGGCACCCACACCCTCAGGCACAATTTGCAGTTGGGTTTGCAAACGTCCTACTCCCTCCTACTTTGCAGATTAGGAAAGCACCTCCCAGGGTATTTACTAATGGTGGTGGAGGGGTGTCCCGATGCTGCTTTCTGTCCTCCGCCCTACACTTTCTTCTTCACAATTATCATCTTTGTGTGCATAGAAGGAAGGTCTTTGTACGAATTGCACAAGGCAAAGATCGTAAATCCCACAAACGTACGCAAAGCTCAGTCCTAGGGCGCCCGCAGCTTGCTTTCTTCTAGGGTGCTGGGAGGCGGGGGTCTGGCAGGCGCGGGGCAGCACCCCAGGGTGACACTCCGGCGCAGACGCAGAACCACCCCCGGTTGCTCACCTGCTCGGGCTTCCCAGGACCCCACGGCCTCGTGCGGCGCTGTTGGCGCAACCTGGAAGCCGGGCGCGGCGATCCTCGGCGCAGTCTTGCAGAGATCGGGCTTCTGGAAAGTGTACCGACCGGAATCTGCACAGCGCAGCCAAACCAAATGCTGCTGCTGGTCTCCCCTGGCACCTCCAACTTCTGCGTCCTGAGGCCGCAGCCCGGGGCTCACAGAGCGGTCGGCTCTGGTTGGAGGGCGCAGTGGCAAGAGGCTGCCAGACTCCCTGCCCCAGGTGAATGCCCAGGCAGGGCTTCCCGGTTAATAGCCTTTCATTTTCGGGCGTGTCCCTCTTCCCAGCTAGCGCCGCCCGGGAGCCGCCGAGAGATGGGACCCCGGCTGCTCCCTCTGGCGCACTGAACCTTCCTACGCGTCCGCAGGAACGAGAAAAGACATCTGCCCACCTGCTGGTTATTCGCCAAGTGATTCGAGAAACCAGAACCCCGGGGCAGCGGGGAGAAAAATAAATAAATAAATAAATAAATAAATAAAAATAACCAGGAGGCGGTCACCGCGGCCACAGGTGCAGGTAGGAACTTCGTGTTCCCGCCCTCCAGGGAACGAGATTGGATCGGGTCGCAGACGTGGCGCCAGCCTTGAGGAGTCTGATTGGAGAAAAGCGGCGCTGCGCCTCTCGCCGGACTCACTCGTCTCGAGGAGAAACGGTGGAGTCAGGAGACCGGGCGACCGGAGCTATGGGTGGGCTCCACTGGGTGAATGTCGCCGCAGCTCTCCCTCTGTCCCGACCCGGTTTTCTTTTTCTCCCCAAGTTTTATAACTTAGCAGGAGCTGATTCACACCCGGACAGAATATTGGAGAGTTTCAGGCGCCCTTAGTTGAGCTCGCCGTGTGCCAGCCGGGCGCCGTTCCAATCGCTTTCTGCGGATTAACTCATTTACTCCTCAAAACAACCCGAGGAGGTAGGTGCTATTGTTATCCTCAGGTGGCGAGGAAACCCTAGCACGGGACGGTTACGCTGCTGCTCAGAGTTGCCCGGCTGGATGGGATCTGACTCCTGCTTCCGCGGTCTGAACAACCACGTTATACCGCAGCCTGCCGGTCTCGGGCTCTTAACAGGACTGAGGATGTGCATTTCCTTCTTTTAGGTCTGGAAGTCCACGACTGTCACCCCGCTAGGGGAATATAAGTCTAACCTCGAGCCACTGCAGGAAGTAAGTAAAGGTTCTGGGAGCTTTTGCTTCTGGTCACATGGCGCTTTTTATTAGTTTGACAGAAAGGTGTTGTCGAAGAGCATATTCGCTGATGAAGGCGGAGGTGCAGCTTGCTTCATCTGCCAGGGTGCTCCTCTTTTTCAAAGAAATATTTTGATGTTAGTTCAACTCATAGACAAGCAGAACCCTCTGAAGGATGGCGTGTGGAGCCGCGGATGTCTGAGTATCTTTGTTCTGAGGACTTTCTGCAGCATAAAAGTAATGAAGATGTAATGTCTAACTCAAATAACTTGCAATATAGAATAAGTAGAATTTTTTTTTTCTTTTTTCGTGTCGGGCAACGGACCGCAACCCTCAGTGTCGCGCCCGCACCAGACCGGGACCGGCAACGGGATCGCAACCCTCAGTGTCGCGCCTGCACCTCGCTCAGCCAGTGAGCGGCTGGTCTGTATGTGGGATCCGAACCCTCAGGGGAGCGCCGCTGCACTCCAAAGCGGCGCACTGTAGCAGAGCGCCACCGGGCCGGCCCAGAATAAGTAGAAATTTTTAGAGAGTATTTCAGTGCATTAAAAAAGATAAAAATATGAATACTTTATATGACTAACTTCTTAGTTTGGGATTCTTTAAATTTTTTATTTTTTCTTTTCTGGCTGGAACAGGGATGGAACNTTCTTTTTTCGTGTCCGGCAACGGACTGCAACCCTCAGTGTCGCGCCCGCACCAGACCGGGACCGGCAACGGGATCGCAACCCTCAGTGTTGCGCCTGCACCTCGCTCAGCCAGTGAGCGGCTGGTCTGTATGTGGGATCCGAACCCTCAGGGGAGCGCCGCTGCACTCCAAAGCGGCGCACTGTAGCAGAGCGCCACCGGGCCGGCCCAGAATAAGTAGAAATTTTTAGAGAGTATTTCAGTGCATTAAAAAAGATAAAAATATGAATACTTTATATGACTAACTTCTTAGTTTGGGATTCTTTAAATTTTTTATTTTTTCTTTTCTGGCTGGAACAGGGATGGAACCGGGAATCCTGGTGTTAGCGCCACTCTAACCAACCGGGCTGAGCCGCCAGTGCTTTGAATTTTTATATGCACAGCAGTGTGTATTTGAAAGTGATGCATTTTTGTATATTTCTTGGCATTAGTTTTAAAGTATAAACGTTCAATCACAGCACTAGGACCAAACAAAGACAGGCCACCAACTCTGCGGGGAGGATAGGACACAATGCATTATAGTGCCATTACTTTACAGAGGAAGACATTGAATCATGGAGGAATGCCCTCATTTAAGGTGTCGTCGCCACTAGGAAGTTTTGGATCTGGGTTGCTGCATTGTTGACCATAGGGGGAGAAGAATGAAGATATTTAGGAAAAGAAATTTAGTACTACCAAATGGCTCCTCATCTAGTGTGATTTTAACATAGGGGCCAGCATTTTCTTAATAAATGAACCTCTAACTGCTGAAATAAAAAACTGATTCTCTTACATCCCCTCTCCATTTATACTCAACAGCTTTGAGTGTTTCTGTCCTGTTTGGTTGATCTAATAACAACACCTGACAAGTAACCCTTCTGTGCAATGAAGACGTTTAAGTGGAGACATAAAAGCTGAGGTGGGGGGTGGGTGAGCACTCCAGACAGGGGGGAGAGCATGCACAGAAGTCTTGAGGTGTGAAGGAGCACTGGGGATTCTAGGATTCTTGAGCAGCCAAGAAAAGGCCTGTGTGATCTGAGTGAGCATTGTGAGCTGAGGCACCACGGGAGATGGAGCTGGGAAGGCGGGTATGACCAGTCCATTCAGGACCGTAATCCCTGAAGAGGAGGTGACATGATGGGATTTGCATTTAAATATCACCGCAGTAAAGAATGGATGGTAGAGGAGATAAAATGAGCCTCCAGGGAAACCAGTTAGGAACTGCTGGAGTAGTTTAGGTGGGATATGCTGATGGCTCACAGTATGGTGTTGTCAGTGGAGGGTGAAGAGAATTAGATGGATGTGAAAGAGGTGTTGGAGGTCAAATCAACAGGGCATGATTTCATTTAATTCATATAAAAGCAGAGGCAGAGTTTGACTGGAGGTTTAAAAGGGAGAGATTTTCACAGCCTTTCTTGCAACTAGGAGTGGCCATGTGATCCAGTTGTGGCCTATAGGGCTGTAAGGAGAACTTCTAGAAATGCTTCTTCCCCAAATAAAGGGCAGACCTTCAGAGAGAAGAATATCTTTTGCCACACCCTCGATTCTTGCATTTAAGCACAGTGTGAGGATATGATGTCTGGTGTTGTAGCAACCATCTTGCAACGGTGAGGCAACAGGCATGGGAATAAAAGCCAACATGCTAAAGACGATGGCGTGCGAGTGTGGAAAGTGTCTGGGTCCTTGATGATACCAGTGATGATGTCACTGAGAGAACCCTGGAACCACCTACCTGTAGAATTCTGGTTCAGTGAGATAATACCTATTCCTATAATTTAACCACAGATTTAACACAGTTTTCTGTTACATGCAGCCAAACCCATTCCTACTTAATATAGACCATTATAGTTATAGGAAAAAATGATATGATTCAAAAGGGAAAAAAGTGGTGTCATTTTATTTTATTTTTGACCAATCTGAAAAGTTCTTCACAGAAGAAGGAGTACTTAATGAAATGTTTAAATGATGGGAAAGTTTTTAAAGGCAGAGAATGCATCTGTAAGACAAGGAAATTTCACTGAAAAGGCTTAGAGTTAAGGGAATGAATAGAGAAAGGATTGTGTGTCGTGCACAGATGAATAAACAGGGTAATTCCAAAAGATGAGGTTCATCAGATTATCTGAGATGTCATCTCTGACTTTTAAAGACAGTTTTGAATCAAAAGAGTTCAGACTTATTTTCCTCCATTGTTTGCATCTGGAACTGTAAGAATTTTGCATCTATAAAAATTTTCATAACCACCCCCATGCTAAAACACACACACACACAGAGGGTTAGTGTTGCAAATATAGTGTGTTATGTAACTATTGATCCAGCAATCATATTGTTTGGTTCTATAAAAGGAACATGGTCTGGCCCTACAGTTCTGTATTGTTAGGCTGAACCCCATACAGAGAAGATGTGTTTAAAAGTTGGTTTATCTACCCAAATAATAGTAGGTGACTTTTAATGTTACTGTATTTAAATATGTTTAGATTGGACAATGCTTACATTTCTTAATAATTTTTTATCTTGTCATTTTTATTTTTCAAAAATGTGTTGATGATTTAGGTAAGGACATCTTTTTTATTTTTCTTCTTTTTTAAAAAATAAATTCTTTTTCAGGTGAAATTTTAAGTGCAATAAATGATTACACTCAAAGATAATAGAGATTGAATTCTTAGAGGGCAAGCATTGCATACTAGGAATTAAAACCAGAATTTTATAGGTTAAACCTGGCATTTGCTGTCCTAGCAAACCCAGCATTGCACGGGAGGCTGGGAAATCAATGATTTTCCTTTTCAGCATCTAGACTGGGCAAAGGAAAAACACGATGAGAAAATTTAAAAAGTCAGGCAGAGAAAAAGAAATACCACATGTTCTCACTTATTGGTGGGAGCTAAAAAAAATAAACAAATTAATTTACCCACAAACACACACAAAAAAAACCGGGGGTGGGGGTGGGGAAGAAGATATAACAACTATACTTTTTTTGAAGTTGTTACAACAAGCAAGGAAAGGACATTCTTGGGGGGGAGGGGAGTGAGGGAGGAGGGCGGGAGGTGTCGGTGATGGGCCATAATAATCATATACATTGTATATTGACAAAATAAAAATTAAAAAAAAAAAAGTATTGCTAATCAAAGTGAAGAAAGAAAAAATCAGCTTTGCTCTTTCCATTCACAGATAACCATGGTTAATGTTTTGGTGTTAGTCATTTTGTTCTTTTTTTCCTACTATTTTCACATATTTACTCTTTGCATACTTCTCCTCTGCCTTTCCTTTTGTTTCCCTCCTTTCCTTCTTTCCTTTCTTTTATGGACACGTCTATCCTTTCAAAATGAGATATGTATCTCCCCTGTTCTTTTCCTTTATAGTCATCATTGTACTGTAGTTGACTGTTTCTTTTTCCTTTCTGTGTATTAACATCAGCATTGTTGGATTTTGTTTATAAAAATCATCAGGTTAACATGAATGCATATCTAGGAGTTCAATAATTATAGTCTCAAAATATCACTAGTCATTTCAGTTTTACGTGCCTCACCTGAGAACTTTATCTAAGCAAAGCTAATTTGTCCAGTGCAACCTCTCTCTGCAGTTCAGTCAACACCTGCCAACTCTTCTGACTCTCCCCATTCCTAGTCCCTTTGTCTCATTACCCGTGGGTCTGAATCACTGCTGTGGGAGTTGTCAGCCTCTCTGTTCACCTTCTTCAGCAAATGGTTGTCCAGTTTCTGTGTGAACAGCTCTGGTGATGAGGAACTCGCTACCTCCCAGATCCACCTCCACTGGAGGACAGTGGAGATATCTGTTGGTGCCTCTTTCTGCCAGTAAGGGCACTCCTTGGCCCTCCTGCCCCTCCTCACTAGGAACCTGTCTTTCTTCTCCCCTTGTTAGTCTGGCTCTCAGATGTGTTACCTACACTTGGCTGTCTCCATTTCTCACCCTAACTCACTCCAGTCTGGCATCTGCCCACCACTTCCACTAACATGGCTTCTCTAAGGTCCCTGGATTTAGAGGACATGTGTCAATCCTCATTTTTTTTTTTGTCTTTTGTCTTTTTTCCGTGTCCGGCAACGGATCGCAACCCTCAGT